CTTGTGGCCCCCATAGGGGCCCTCAAGAAGACAATAGGGGCTTCCGCGCGGCACTGGGGGCCCCCTCGCCAAGGCCTTGGGGACCTTCTTTACACAAGGGCGCCTTCTTAGCCCCAGGAGTTGGCGAGTTTCCACAAAAAGTGCCAAACGCAGGGAAGGCGGAGGCCCCTCCCCCGGTGACCCTAGGGGCCCCCGGGGGCCCCCAGGGGACCCCCAGGGGCTCCCCAGGGGACCCCAGGGGGCCCCCAGGGGGAAGACCCAAATAGAGAAGCCAAAGAGAAGCAATGGAAGCAAATGAGGGAGCAAATACGGACTTGAAGAGAAATACAGAAGGAAAGGGAGAAGAAAGAAAAGAAATAAAAAAGAAAAGAAAAAGTGTTTTCTCACCGAGTAAAACCCTTAAATAAACGATCTAAGAAAATGCGGCGAGAAGGAGGCAAAGAGGCGTGAGGGGCAAAAGGGTCTCCCAAACGCCCAAAGGCCTTATACACTTCAAACACTTCCGGGGGCACCTGGGCGCAAACCCTAAACCCTAAACCACAGCCTCCAAACCCTAAACCCTGGATCCTAAACCGCAGCCTCCACACCCTAAACCCTCAGCCACGGGCTGTAAACATTAAACCCTAAACCACAGGCACTAAACACTAAACCCAAAGCTACAGGCTGTAAACCCTAAACCCTAAACCACAGGCTGTAAACCCTAAACCCAAAACCATAGGTTGTAAACCCTAAACCCTAGAAACTAGGGCCGAGTGGCACCTTGAGGCAGAAGCCCAAACCCTAAACCCTAAACCCTGGACAATAGTCCACAAAGCGCAGATAGCGCACCTGCGACCCCCTCAACCCCTAAACCCTAAACCCTAGCTTTTGGTCTGGAAGCTCAGAAGCAACTCACTAAATCATAAGGAAGCTCTTTGGTGCTCAAGTTTGCTGCTGAGATATCCGGGTCCTCTTCTGCTGCTGCTGCTGCTTTGCGGGGCCCCCTGGTAGCTGCTGCGCCTTTTGCTGCAGCCCCTCCCTCAGCAGCTTTTTTGGCTTTCTTGTGCTTCGCAAACCCCCCTAGCTGCTGCAGCTTCTGCTGCTTCTGCTGCTGCTTCAGCAGCATCAGCTGCTGCTGCTGCTTCTGCTGCGCAGTCTTCTTCTTAGGGCCAACACCACCCCCGCCCTTAGGGCGGCCTTTTGCATGCAAAGAAGTCCTTGGGGCCTTCTGAAAAGAAGCTTCTGGGGTCAAAGTGGTACTTGTGGGGGCCCCTGGAGGCCCCCATAGGGGTCCCTGGGGGCCCCAGGCGCCCCCACAAGTGGGGCCCCCTGGAGGCCCCCACTGGGGGCCCCCGGGGGGCCCCAGAATAGACTGCCTAGGGGTATTCCGCTCTCGCGCAAGGGTACCCAGCAGCCCCTGAAAGGCCAGCTTGGGAGCTCCTGTTGAGCTTGAGACAGCTGCTGCTGCTGCTAGCTGATGCAGCAGCAGCAGCAACCCCACAGCCCTCGCCGCAGTGCTCCAGCTGCTGCGGCCTTTGAAACACTGGGGGGCCCCCGGGGGGCCCCCTAGAGGGCCCAATGACAACATAATGGCTCTCAGGGGGCCCCTGAACTGGGGGGCCCCCAAGCTCTTGGCTGGGGATAGCCTATTTGGGGCCTCTACAGTGGGGGGCCCCCATCCCTGCGCCGCGCGAGGGGCCCCCGGGGCCCTCTGCAGTTGAATTGCCTTATCTGCTGCTGGGGGGCCCCCCAGGCACGCTGCAGCAGCCAGGTCTAGGCCTATGCTGGGTATTTCTCGTCTTTATTCTTAAAAATACTTTTTTTTCGATATTAATTTGTGGATTAAAGAATATAATCTGCAACAAAAGCCTCGTAGGGGCTCACGGGGGGCCCCCCTGAGCCTTGAGAGGCCCCGGGGCCTTTGCGCACCGCCCCCCTGCGGGCGCTGGAAAAGGGTCCCGAGGCGGCTTTTTTTTCGCAAAATTGTGCAGTTGATTAATTATAATTATAAAATTAAAAATAAAATGAATTTTTCTTTTAAACTTAGTCAGCGCAGCACTTCCTGCGACCCCTCTGTCTTGCGCTGGGGCTGAAGACCCCCGTCAACACAGCCCACTTGGGTATGGAAATGTTAGTTCTGTTAGCTAGCCACCGTCACCAGCTAGCCACAGCTAGCCGCGGCCAGCCGCAC